AGGGCTCGTGCGGCCATGGCGTGCTCTGCGGCAGTGGTTCGCAGCGGGCTTCACAGCGCGCTGCGCGCTTGCTGATGGCCGACGACGGAGCGGGACCAATAGCGAGGCCATGGCATGCGCACGGGATGGTAGCACGGGGAGCTGAGAGCAAGGGAGACGGCGTGCCGGACCCGGCCGGGAAGATGGCCAGCCACGGCGGGGCGCAGACGACGACGGAGGAGGCACCTGGAAGGGGGTAGCGCCACGGAGCAGCCGTACCAGCGCGGGGCGTGGAGCTCGCGCGCGCAGGATGTGGGACAGTGCGGACGCCGGGGTACCGAGCGGGTACTGCACGGCGGGGAAAGCGCAACGACGGTGGAGCATGGGTGCCTCAGGGTGGCTGCGGGGTACGGTGGTCGGCTGAGCAAGCTGGGATGGAGAACAGCACAGGCGCACGAGAGGAAGGCAAGGCGCCGCAGGCGGCTCGGTCGAAGATGAGTAGCGCGTTCACGCGGGGCGCCTTGGTGGCGGGGCGAGCAGAGGAAGGGGCGGCGCCATGGAGCAGCAGGGACGGCGCGGCAGTGGCAGCTCGGCCTTCGGCTTAAGACGCACGAGGGCAGCAGCAGCAAGTGCGGCCATGGTCAGAAGGACAAGAGCAGGACCGACGAGGAAACAAGCGCACGTGGGCGACCGGCCAAGGCACACGCAGGGACAGCAAAGTGTTGCGGCCGTCCTGGAAGGGAAGCGGCACGGGGCAACGCGGGCCCAGGTGCTCGCTCGCTCGAGAGAGAGGGGATGAGCCGGCGTCGAGCAAGCAGAGGGAGGCGAGGGAAACAAGGAGCGACTGGCGGACAGGAGCTGGGACCTGCAGCAGAAATAGAAAAGGAAGGGGACAGCAGCACGAGTGTCGGCCAACTTCCATTACGCAGGACAGCAGTGGCATGGACGGGACGACTCTACTTGGCGGGACACAAAGACATTAACGCGACGAGACAATGGAGGCAGACTGCGGTACAACTCCATCAGCGATATCTAGCGAGCCCACGTACACGACAACGTGGTCCGACAACGCGGCGCAACGCTAATAATTCGGATGATGGATTTATTCAAAGCAGTGGGAGGCACCACCGAACGCACGTAGCAGCCGAGGACACGGGCAGGAGCGAGGTAGGTGAGACGAGTGACCAGCGGCATTTTTGTTTTTATTTTTATTTCGTTCATTTTTATTCTTAACTAACAAACATCACACTGACACTCGAACAAGCATACCAACATATTCACGATGTTCATATTCTGCTGATGATATGATTTTCCCTGTTTATATTTTATTTTTGCTTCCAAAAATTCATTTTCTAAACAACTTTATGCATTAGCAAGCATAACTAAAACTCTAAGGTTTTTAATATTTAGCAACTTTACTTTCAACAATTTTAATTTATAAAAATTGTTTTTCATGCTTAATCCAATAAACAAGCCATTCGCCCTTTATTTGCCATCAGACATTTTTAAGCACTAGTCCATACGTCAATCTATCTCGTAGAAACAAAACACCTATGAACTAATTAACCCGTTGTTCAATATAATTCGTCAAAATTGACACTTTTAAATATAAATTAATTTTTTACAAATCCGAGAAAAACATTTCGAAATTTTTACTTAGGCCTAAATCGCGGTGCTAAACAGGCTCGTAACACCAGGGGTGTTACATTGATAGACCTAAATGACACACAATCAAAAGTTAATGGACCTATGGTACATTTAACTCTTTACTTATCAAGAAGGGAAAATAAATTATGTTCATTCATGCATTGATTTCTAAAATAATACTTCGTCCATTAGTCAAAATATATTTGTTCAAGACTTAATTGCCTCCAAATTAGTTGATGCAGTGAGCAACCAAGAACAATAATAAACAAATTGCATATTGTTACACCTAAACCTATATCCTTCGAACATAGTAAATTTGATGATACCTTCCTCAGTTACGACCAAAAGCTTGCTTGGCATAAGTCCAGTTTCAACCATCACCACTTCACCAACTAAGACTGGTTGGAGAAGGACAACCGCGGCAAGTGAAGCATGGCAGAACATTACCATTACAGTCCTTAATGAAATTCCAACTGTGGTAATTGGGTGTGACCAAAGTTGTTCATGCTAACAAGCCATAGCGTGTCATAGGCATATCAATTTTGGCTCATCACATTAGTAAAACAAACAAAAGATGATTATAAATTTAGGGATGAATAGTATGGAACAAACTTATAATTTAGAGAATCATTACCAAGTAAATCCGGGCCATAAATCAGTACTTCTCAGTGCATATTATCCTATAAACAAGAATGAAAAATACTATCTTGTACAATATGTTGATGGAGACTAGGCATCCATAGAATGAAACCATTTTGTCAGACCTAGATAGGATGATGTGTTATGCTGTCATCTTAAGAGCAAAATTCCAAGATCTGAAAGTTTTTCCAACTACAACAGTATTTTTATGTTCAAATGCACTTGAATTGGACCCAAGAGCTTAAATCTAAGAAAATTTCAAATTTTTGTGAAGTGTTTTGCGACTATAACATTACTTTTATGTTCAAATGTACTTAAATTGGACACAAGTGTGAATTTTCGTCACAGACCTGAAGCTGTGATCTTGTGTCAGAAGGAAACGAAATGCATGACAAGATGGCCCAGTGACACAACAAGATTTCTACATCTAAAATAGTGAGAGCTTACAACAGAGCAAAGTGACTGGCACATAGAGAAAAATGGTCGATGCTGCTAAGATGTTCTGGCTTTACATCAATCACCTAGGACACGGTGATTCTTTTGGAAAATTGAAACATAGGAATAGATAGAACTACTAAATCATGGAAAAACTTAATTAAATAAATACCCTGTTATGATCTGATACAATACTGCACAAAGATAAACACAGCTATAAGAATATTAGGAAGTTTTTTTCTCGATAAAAGAATATTAGGAAGTATAAAGTAAGATTGCTTCACAAACAATTTGACATTTTCTCCATGTCATAATGCAGTAACAGATGCTTTCCCTGTCCTAATAAACTATAAAGTAAACATGTTGTGATTCAGCCGAGAAGATTTTTTTTCAGGTAAAGCAAACACTCACCTAGCCATGATGTGATGAAGATCTGGTGCGTCGCAGTGCATAGAACCATATAGAATTTGTGGCAAAAAAAAAGAAGAAATCCAAGTGCTTACTGATAAATGCTTGACAAATAACATCTTAATGAGCATAGAACTCAGGAAGTCCTCACAAATATTTAAAAAAAAAGTCAAAATGCTTAATCTGCCAAATTAAGAACGACACAGTATGTTAAATTGCTAAATCAAGAAGTACATACGCGAGAAGCAAGCCCAGGAACAATTCATATCTTTTTTTTTTTTTTGAACAAATACTAATATCCTGTAAAAGCCACTAAGTTAGCCAAAGGCATGTAGCTAAAATTTTCTGGTACAATAAGATGGTTCTTTTGAAAAGGAGCTTCATAACCATAGCAATGAGAGAAGTACCGTATATGTTCCAAAATTCTGAACTATACTTTAATATGCCAAATGACTCAAGAGAGGTATATCATGAAACAGTGAAACGAATGTGCCGGCAACCTTGCTAGTTCAATAGTTTTTTTTTATTTTCTCAACACGTAGGAGAGCTGGATTTTTTTCTCTCGAACATGCTACTTAAATAGTAAGTTGCCACCTAAGATTTAAAATAGAAAATCATTCTGATGAGAACTATGAAGAAAATTCCAATGCAACTGTGTTTGCCATTCAATAGGTGAGCTCCATGATGTGTCACAAGCAGTAAAATCAATGCAATTAGTATAGAATAATTATTCACTTGAAGTTTGGGAATAACGCACATCACGGTTGTGGACAAAGATATATGTAAATTCCAATGGTTGAAGTGATCAATGCTAGGACATATTACTGATCCTATCTACAAATGACAGTACCAGAATGAAACACAGATCATGCCACTTTTTTGTAAGAACTGATGCCGCATCTCAAGCTGACTTAACACTTATGATATAAATATTATATCCAAACTCATGGGGTCTGAATTTACGATAAAAAAAAGGCACTATGTAATACTTAAATAACTAAAGAACCAGACATATAACAACATATATGAATCTGCCTTTAACTGGATATCTATAGGGGTGTTGAAAACTTGAACTGTAAGAGCTGACTACATGCCAAGCATCCTTTGGATATTGATTATTGAAGCACTGACACTATTTCAAGTGAATGTCTAACTCCTTCAGCTAGAAACTAGACATTTTCATATGGGAAAATTGGTTCTGTGAACCAAACATGGTTGCAACTTGCAACACAGGATACTTTATGGTCTGGTCCATTATACTGTAGTACACGATTTTCAATTGACAACCTACTATGGCATATGAACAACTTGACACTACCATTGTTTCTATTTACTTTTTTTTACGATACTACTGTTGTTTTTCTTGAAGTGAAGGCAGTTCCAGGATCAAGAAGGAATTGAAGACTATGTTCAGACCCTCTATTCAAATTGTGCAGTCATTTTGTGCTATAACCAGAGTTATACTTTAGCAACCTATGAAACCTCTGGTTTTTACAAAGTCAGACTGTAAACATATTATACCTTAGTGACAGAAATCATCTCATTGTTTATTGAGAGAATAGATTAGAATTGCATCATCCACATTGATTATGATATAGTGATATATTGTAAGGGAAGCACACAGCAACTGTTTTTAGTTCTTTAAAGTTCGACATCTCTGCATATCCGTGAACTGCCACATAAAGAAAAAGGTCAACAGCTTCCACAAATTACAGGAAGGCACTTTTTATTGCCATAAAACATCACTTACATCCAGGGTAATTGGACAGACAAGTATGCATTGCATACAGCCAAACCAAACTTTTTATTGCCATAAAACATAACTTACATCCAGGGTAATTGGACAGACAGGTATGCATTGCATACAACCAAACCAAACAGCAGGTCCATTCCTACATCCAGAAGGCTACAGGAGAAAACGACGAAAGATGCTTTGACACTAGATAGGAGTATGTGGTGCGGCCAATGGTTTGCAGCTCTCCCTTGTGACTGTACTTGAGGCCGAACATGGTGATATGGAGCATGCAGCCATCACAGTCACCAAAGGCGTCCTCATACTCCAGTCCCTCACGCACCACACACTTCACAATGCAAAATCTGGAACCACCCATGTACGTCAGAGTAGGCCCACGAGCCATGTCTTTGCTCCACAGCTTGTCCTTGACCATCTTCCAGTCCGGCTGCATGGAACTTGTGCTGCTGTGGGAGATGACTTGGCAGGAGCAAATGCCACCATCCTTGTGAAGCCCAACCCATGCATCCAGCTCACTGTCAAAGAAGCCTTCATGTCTGAAAGGCAACGCCCATTCCCCATGGCACCTCCACTCGCAGTGCCTGGTGTCAAAGGAGAAGGTCCGGCCACCTATATGCGTTCTGTGGGCAGACATAAAGATGGTGTGTCCATCCGGGTGAAGGGCGTAGGAGACAATCACTTCATCCGTCTTGAATGGTGGTGGGAAAGGCACGCTTTGCCATGACCAATCCAAAGTTGGGGTTGATAGACGCAGACCCTGCTTGGCGCCGGCCGTGGACATCACCTCAAAGGAGTGCTGCCTTTCGGCAAAGAAGTATTCGAATGCATACAGCGTATCGGCTGCAGACACAAAGTTGTTAACGCCACCAAGTAACGGATCCGGGAGGCAAGGGCCGGTGGCCAGCGCCGCCGTCTCCGTGTCGTAGACGAGGGTCCCGCGGTGCCGGTTGCTCACAGTGACGATGTTGCTTCCAAGAGCGGCAAAGCTCATGGGACAACAAGGCACAGGTGCCACCAGCCGGAGGACGGGGGGCTCCCCCGAGGTGAGGGTCGGCAGCGTCGATCTTATGGATCGAAAGCCCTTGGCCTAATCATCCAGCACCAGATAGAGATGCTTTTGCTTCTGCAACCTCTTGCCGGTCCCCTGTCCCTGCTCCTGCCGCCGCTTGGACATCCCCCCTCCGACAATTTTGTGCTCCTCCACCGAGTTAACCAGATTCAGAGGTCCCGTTCCGTTCCTTACTGGTAAAGATTCGATTTTGCGTTGCAATCGAGATGTCTAACAGGGCCAAATCTGCCAATACATCGAGAGCAACTTAGGATGCCTTTACTTATGGAGGCTCAGCAATGCTTGCGCTAGGTAGGGCTCCTCCCCTCTACCTAGATGTAATCGAATTCGGAAATTAAACCGTCCAAGTTGGGGTCACGTACCTCCGCCGAATCCGAGCGTTCTAGCGGCCTGGAGCAGAGTTGTCGCACGCCGTCGTCAACTTGCCCTCCCTCCCTGCGTGCGCGATGGCGCGGTGCGTGGGTGCGAAACCCTGAAGATCTTGTTTCCTTAAGAAGGCCAATGCCTTATTTGGGCCTTTCCAGTTGTAGCCCATCACTGCACACCCTAAATGGACCCGAATAAGCCCAATAAACAAAGGAAACCGACCAACCCCGCAACGGCATTTCCCTTCCCTCTTCTTCTTCCCGCCTCCCTCTCTCCTCGACGCTCCCCTCCGCAACTGCTCGAAGTTTCCAATCGCGCGCGCCGTGCACGGAACCCTAGGCCCTAACCGCCCCATCGCCGTCGCAAAGGAAATGGGGGCACCTCAGGCCGCCCTGGCCTCCACCTCCGCCGCGCCCCCGGCGCAGCGGCGCCGTTCCACTCATCTGATCGATCCCCCGCGTCGGGACGACGATCAGGATCAGCCCCCGTGTTCCGAGACCGCCTCGACGTCATCGCAGCCCCAACGCCCCTCCACAAGCCTGATCAGGATCCGGCGGCGGGTCTCTCAACCGGCCCCACCCTCGCGCGTGTCTACGCCACCGCCAGCGGCCGAGGCGGATGCGCCTTCTTCATCCGGCGCGGTAACTCCCCGCCGCTCGGTCCGAGTCCAACTCCGTGTCCGCGGCCTCCCCTCGGCGTCGTCTTCCTCCACTCCAAGGAGGCGTCGCAGGTCCCCTACGGCTCCCCCGCCCACGTCGATTGGCACGAAAGCGGAGGATTGGGGTAAGGAGAAGGCGGCGTCCGGTGCCCCCCAGGAGGAGTGCGTCCTTCCTTTTCTCCGGAAAGGCGCCCCCAGGAAGGTGCGTACATGGCTGAACGAGTCTCTCTATTCCGTATTTGCCTTTCTATATTGTTTGTATGCAAGGTGAATTTTGGCCTCTTATGGTGGTGTTGCGTCCGAATTGGCCCTGAAACAAACGCTCTATTCGACTCCTTACTGGTCTGTTGCTTTGATTTGGTCACGGAATCCTGTATTTTGGTTTCGGGTAAACTGGGGTGTTGAACACACTTGAACTGTTGATATTATCAGTTTTGCTCGCCCAATTCTACATTCAAGCATTGGGACTGGACGTTTTTCTTGACTTGTACTCACAATATATTCGCGCTTGATACTATCTTGCTAAGATATGAAATGAAAATGTGACACCTGATTTCGTCCATACTTGTACTATGCAATCGCTAGTTTCCCCATTTCACCATTTGCAGGATCGTATTTCTTGTTCTCTGTTTAGGTTTTACACGTCCTAGAATATATAGTAGTGCTAAAATATATGAAACACTTCATGGAACGCAACTATTCAGTAATATACCTCCATTTCACTTTGGATCTATGCGATCCTTTTGAATTCAGAGAATGCTGCTTCTTCTGTTCTGTTCTTTCATGGTAGATCAAAAACTAGACTGGCAAACATTTTGTACAATACAGTATAATGGGTGTTGCCGTGCAATGGGTGTGCATTTGCAGCTACATACTAGTTGATTTCATCTAAGCATCTACACTTCTGTACTGAACTGTTTTGACAAGGATAAACCAAAAATTGTTGCGGGTGCATTATATACATTAGATTTCTTAATGTTTCAGGAATCAAGAGTTTTGGATCTCAATGATGTTGAATTTTGAGCAATTGTAGCATTACTGTACAGTACTGATTAATTTGGGTTATCCATAAAGCATCATGTTTTCTTTTCGTGACAGATCGACCAACATTTACTGAAATTGTTCTTGTTCCTGGCACCAATGTAGAGATGGTTGGCTTGTGATATAGACAATTACCAACATGGTTCATCCAGGAATTTGGCAATTGCATTATTAGGTGTTTGTCTATCTATATAGAAAGGGATGAACAATGGGGATGATGGCCTGATGGAAGGAAAATTTGTATCCAGTATGTAAAATGTAAAAGGTCAGAGGATTCTGGACAAAGGCATCGAGTGCCATTATAGACTTATATTGTACCATTTTTATAAGTTCCACAATAGGGGAAGAAAATCCATGAATTCGGATAATGAAGATATAGTGGACTTGGAGAATTAACAAAATGGTCCGACAGTATTAATTCAGCAGAGTAAGGACTAAATCTCCATAGGAGCACCACCACATGACAATAGGAATTGGGAGTAGAATCCACCCTTTTAGCACAACTGAACTAAGGCAGCCAATTGCATTTCCTTGTAAGCTCGTTTGATTAAGATTGAGGGGACCACTATCGATGAAAGGATAAGGGAAAACACAAAGACAGTGGTAGAATTCAAGTGTTTCCCACAGGAGGAGAGCAGAGAATTTTATTAGAAATAAGATACATGGAATTATTGGTTAACTTTTGTATATTCAGAGTACACCCAGTCACCCACATAGAATGAGAAATTAATGTGGTTTCTACGCAGGTATGAGCGTTGGTCTATAGACTATAGACAACCTGAATAAACTGGGTTGCATTGAACATGGCAGATTTTTCTTGGTTTTCCTAAGGATATATACGACTTTGGAATGTTCTCTGGGCGATAATGATATGAAAGTTTGCTGAGTGTCTGATTATCCAAATGCGATAGAATTGGCAGGAGACCATCAGATAGCATTAGTGGTAATAATGGAAGAGTGATAGAAAGAAGGTTGGTCAATGAATGATGAAAAGATGTCAAGAGTAATAAACTTGAAAGGCTTCTGGAGAAAAAATGTCTTCACAGTTCATACAGTACTGCTCTGGTGCCCTATGTATCAGATCTAATCTTGACTGGTAGAAACCGTGCTGTGATGTTCTACTCATTTACTGTAAAAATAATCTAAAAGTCTTTCCGATTTAGGTTGAGTGCCTGATTTGCTCAAAGAGTATTCTGCCTGATGAAAAGATGCAATGTTCAGTTAATCACTGTGATGTAACTTTGCACAAGGCTTGTTCAGAAGAAACTGATGGATGCTGCCCTCGGCACGTGAGTTGTCTGAAACCAAGCTTTAGGTCTAATATTTCCTTTCATTTCATTCATAGCCTTTCAATTTCACTTTTTTTAGTTTTAATGAGTGTAGTCAGGATATATAACTGAGTTGTGCTTTCTTCTGGTCAAACAACAACATGTTTTGTTGACCTTATGCTGACTTTGAAAGTAGTAGTGTTGGTAGGTGCTGTGATGGAAGACACTTGCTACAGTTATCTTTCCTTTTTAAAATTCAGTGGTCTTGTCCAAAAAAGATACTGTAAGGCAAACTACATTTCTGTTTTTACAGAAAATTGGCAGAGGCCATTTTTTAGGTCATCAATACCATGACATACTAGGGATTCCTATTTTTTCCTCGAACAGGCAGGATTCGATTGATTTTTTTGGTTCTTATATAAGTGCTAGATAATTTTTCATGTAACTAACAATGGTGTATCTTCTACTTTTTAATTGCATAGATTTGTTTTTGCTGCAAAAGGAGGACATCTAGACACCGCATACAACGCACAATGCCTGTTTGTACTGAATGTTTACTAAAGAACAGGATGATTGATTCTGAAGATCTTTCAAGGAAAATGATTTGTTGGAGTATTTGGCCATCAACAAGTGAGGTTGATGTCATGCTGCATCCACATTATTTTCTGCTTTGTTTTCAGTTACTCATTACTCATATATATATACATATGTTGTTAGCATCGTCAATTCCTGTGAAATGAAAAATATAAGATTGAATGGTCCACAAGGAAATTATTGAGACCTTTAGTCATTATTATTATCAGTTCAGCTATTGCGTTAAAAGAAATTATCAGTTAAGTTAATCCTATATGATGCATGAGAACTACCATCTTAGCTCTGTGCAATACCAATAAGATTTGTCAACCAGAAACCTATTAACCCTATCTGGCAGCTGAACCATAATCCCTCAAGAGAAGATACGTGTTACTACAGTAGCAGAACATGGGTTAGACAATTTTGCACTTTGCTTAATATTTTATTATTAGAGAGTTCACAATCATAAAAGCACTTGTACTATTAAAATATTCGATGATGAAAGTTATTGGCTGTTGACATGATATGTCTTTAACCCGTCCATGTAGTTATGTAGGTACTTGTACTAGCAAAACCATCAAATAGATCGGAACTTTCAAACCTGATAGCTCATACCACCACCACCTATCGTCTAACCAAGTCATTTTCCCTTTTTTTTATATTTTGGGGGGGAAATCCTATTTTCATCAATAGGAAGGAGAGTTGCCTATCATTCCATTAAGGAGAAGACAAAAATAAATTAGAACACACCCACCATCATTGTTACACACGCATACGCAAACAGGAAATAAATGCGCCTTTTACATTAAACCACAACTTAACCCAATAAAACCACCAGTTTATTTAATCTAAAGGCAGAGCTCCTGCCATTGCGTTAAAAAAAACACCAGTTTATTATCCATTAGCAACCTCTAGGTGGGCAAGACCTCTAGTGCCTGCAAGGCTCCAGAGGTGTGCCTCTTCAATTCCTTCCATGCATCTCAGGCACTCTGAATGGCTAAGACAGTTGCATACCTACATTTATAAGTGTTTTGCATCATACTAGCACTTTCAAAGTACTCAATATATTGGAACCTTCTTTGTGTATTATCAAGGTTGAATGCGTGTTTGTTAGACCTTTCTTTTGCAGTAAGCTTTGACACTATTATTTTGTTGGTAATTTTGCTGATGTTATGATATATGCTTCTTACAGGATGCTGGCCCTACAGATGACATAAAGGTGATCGATATCTAGTATCATTTGTTACATTGTTATTGAACATATTAGAACCTTTCCAGTTTTTCCAAGTTATAATAATAACTTCTTTGCAAGTTTGTCGCTCAGATGAGGTTGGATTGATGCACAGTCAATCAGTCATTGTGTTAGATTCTTCTGTTTTTGTTTTCTTCACTGTCAATGTAATTCTTATAAGAAAACTTCAAAAATGAATTTACTATGGACATTGCAGTTGTCTCTTGGCCTTTTAATATTGTCTCTTTTCACGTTTTGCAGGTCATGATTTATTTTAAATTGTTTGATTTGACTTACTGAAATTGATCAATGCACAGGAAGCCTTCCGGCGCTTACCTCTCCCATACACTGACCAAGAGTTCAGTATTGACCCTATTAATAAACAGGATCTGGAAACTGAAAGCGAACCACCTCCATATGTACATATTAAGCACAGTATCCTTTGTTAGCTGTAAATTTAATATTTGCGACTATATATGTATCTCATGTTTGTTAATTATAAGTTGTAACCACAGCAATTGCCATTTCCTTAATGAACGAAGATGCAATTGACGTTTCCTTAATGAACTAAGATGTTTATGTTGTCAAGAAGAAAAGTGACGGTGATGCAATTGAAGGTGGATGCATCAGCTGTGACCACGACTCAACCTGTGAAAGTAGTTGTTCCTGCAGGTATTTCTTGTGCTCACTACTCGTCCCATTTCTTGTGCTCAAGATTGTTGGTTATTTTCCATTTTTTTTATCTGTAGTGTCAAGTTTTTATAGTCTAAATAAATCTGTTTCGTAAATAAAACACATATCATTAGGGCATGAATGGATTTCTACACTCCAATCGCTGAACTTCTTGTGCCTGCTGAGTATTTGTAATTTGTAGTCTACAGACTGTTGTGTTATCTTGTACGTGTTCATTGGATATAAATGCAGATATAATATTTTCTATGATATGCTGAATTTTTATACAGAAATTTAAGACTGTTATTGCAGATCTTCAATGTCCAGCTGCTCTTTGTATTGTCCTTGCTCAGTTAAGTGCTCCAACAAACCATTTCGCAGAGAGAAAAAGATAGAGATCATTAAGGTAAGGCCTTGGTGTTCTCAAAGGGCTTGGCTTAGTGATATTCGTAGAGTACAAGTACAGTGTAAGTACTCTACGAATATCACTAAGCCAAGCCCTTTGAGAACAAGTGTCTTCCTTCTCTATCGATGAGATGAGCACTGTCTCGTGCTTGTTCATTCAAAGAAAAGTAACACAAGTGTCCCTTTATTTAACTACTGTTCTTGCTTAACACGAGAGTCAGTTCTCCAACAATAAAAGATCTTTTTTACTGTTTTCCTTATTTAGCCCAGTTTTTTTTTGTTTGGCACATCTAATTATTTGGACTACCAAGTAACTACCTGATGGTCTAATTCTGTAGACACAGCAATGTGGATGGGGCGCTATTGCGCTGGAAACCATTGGGAAAGATGATTTTGTGATAGAGTTTGTTGGAGAAGGTACAAGGGCTCTTCAGAGTTTTTTCTTTTGTTAAATATATGATGCAGTTTATTCAGTGCTCTACTTATTTGCTGTTCCATTTGCTCGCATGGACTTAACAGTAGCACTATTTATGTGAAATTTTCTTTCACATGAGACATGTCAATTTGAATATATGGGAAGTGTAGGTGGTCGTTCAAACTGAATACTGATTTTTCTTAAGAGGAGTACATTGTAAATTACACCAAAAAAAATTGGGTTCATTATTTTAGTTAACCACCAACCAAACGTTCAGCTTTGCCTTAAGCTGTGGTTACGGAAGCTAGTATATGTAGTATCCAATGAATTCCTTCCCTGATGTGGTTTTTTTGCATATTGTGACTATCTTTCAAACTTATGAATGGCTCTTCAGGATAAAATGTATTGAGGTTCCTTCCAGAGTACCAAAACTGTCTCACATACCTAGTTTTTCTTTTCTGCAGCTCTTGCAATTTGTTTGCTATTTTCTCCTGACTCCTGGGATTTTTTATGATACAATGCTGATTATTGAAATATTTTCTTTAATGTTGTACTCCATGCCTTCCAAATTATAAATCATTTTGGCTTTTCTGGGTACACAGTTCGCTATGTCTACAATTTGGAATGGAGGTAGTAAAACATTGAAAATTTTCTCATTTCCTAAGCATGATGCTATTAGAATGAAGAGCTTTTCATATGTTAGAACTTAGAATTAAAAGCTAGGTCTTATCTTATCCACAAATGCATAATTGAAGTTGTATGCTTTAACAAGCTGGTTTATATGAAAAATAATTGTATTAATGACAAGGCTAGATTTGTGCTGAAATCATATTTCCTTTTAATTTTAAATTTCACTGTTTATTCTAAAGCGCACACCATTTTTCATATTTTACCTTTAACATCACCCTTCAGTTATAGATGATGCAATGTGTGAAGATAGGCTTCTGGATATGAGACAGCGCAGAGATCAGAATTTCTACATGTGTAAAGTCGGCAAGGACTTTGTAATTGATGCAACTTTCAAAGGAAATGCTTGTCGCTTTTTTAACCACAGTTGCCAACCTAACTGTCGGCTGGAGAAATGGTAAGAACGTACTTTCCCATTTTAATATGCTATGGTGGCTTTGTGTTATACTGATTCAATAATTTGTTCAGATTCTTTTTTAGTTAAATTGGTAGGAAGTACTATCTTTTTCTTTAAAATGTACAGCTTGATTCAAGTTTTTTTTGTTCCTGCCAGGCAAGTTGACGGCAAGACAAGATTAGGCGTGTTTGCTTCACAGACTATTAAAGTAGGAATGCCCTTGACTTACAACTACAGGTACTTCAAACTTACTCTCAATAAACCTCAGTGTTGCCCTTTTTTCTTCCAGCACCAAAACTGAGTAGTATAGTAACTAGTTTTTTCTTCTCACATAGGGGATTTCACGCCCTTATATTATTCGTCATGCTATTGCTCAAGTCGACAATTCACAATAAAACTGGAACCTCAGTCAACAAATATGTAATAATTACTTAAGACAACAGAAATAGACTGTATAGCTATTAATTTCAAATATGTACAGGTATCATAAGAGGGAGAATCCACTGTCATTAGTAGTTTACCTGGAACATATATGCCTAGAGCCTGTGGTCATATTCCGGAACCTTTGTCCATCTGCTGATGTAGTTATGGATCCTTACTGCTACTCTACGGCATTTCTTGCCTTCCAATTATACCGACTTGTTGATTAGCAGCTTGATTGAAGGCTGCTCCTACAATTGTTCCCACTTCCAGCGAGAGTTCGTATATTGCTTTTATGTATAATCGTTTTCGTGTTTTTGTAGATTCAGCACTTCTTTCGGTCCAGAGAAAGAATGTTTCTGCGGGGCTCCTAACTGCCAAGGGAAATTGTGATATGTAAAGATTGAACAAGGAAGATTTGCACACTCAGAGGTACTACATGAGTGTGAAATGGACTATACACTATACAGTGAGGATTTATTGAGCAGAAACTTTCATCAGCTTGTAGAAAGAAAAAAAGACACAGTAGTGTTTGGTAGCTACCACTACCATTGTTTACTGATTTATTTAGGATTCAGTGTTATGTACTGTTGTTTCGCCTGTACAGGTTTTACTTCTGTAAATGCTAAATACACAGCGTACTCACAGTATTATGTACTTTTGTTACGTACACTGTCAGCTTAGCTGTCTTTTTCCTAAAAAAAACTATGTATGCATAGTGAGCCACATGTTGTAGGATCCAGAGTAACTGGCATTCACTGGGTTTGTGACTGTAACCTGGACATTTCGTGGTAACTTTGTAGTATTTGTATACTCTGTTTTCCGATGGTTTCTTCTTGTTGGATGCTACTTGCAACGGAACTCTATGGTAATACTTGAATGGTTCTGTGGTTTTGTTTGAAACAGCCCATTCTTGTTAGTTTTGATCAGTACTGCAGCCATCCTTGTTTCAGTCTTTTAGAAAGTCACCAAAGGGAAATCGAGCATCTCGTCACCTTTACAGGTCACAAAAGCAGTCAAAATGACTGCATGCCTCGCTACTTGCAACACATTCCCTACATACATGCTTGCGCTGCAAAAGGTTGCCCTAGATCAGTGGACCGGAATACCAAAGGACTGCAATGCTGCATGTGCTTGTGTCACTGGATCAGCTGGGAGAACAGCAGCAAAAGAAAAAGAAGCCTGTGAAAAGAAGCAAAAGAGAAGCCATCCTTTTTCTTTACATCTTTTTTTCAAGGGAAAAGGACGGCTGCATCAGAAACTACACAACTGTGGTCTGAACTCTAAACCCCTAAAGCACCTAGGAATACCTTTCTCCAAACTGACTCGCAACAAATCTAACACAATCCTCTCTCTCTACCTGTAATTTTTAACAAGCACTCCGATCCTCTGAATTTTGATTTTGATGCTATCATATCAAGGAAGTGGTTCTTCTTCTTCCCGGCAAGGGTTGGGCTGCTTGCTACCTTGGTCCTGACAGCTCCATCTCCTCCACCATGTCGATGGACCTTGCTTCGTCGCTGCTGAGGCTGCTCTCGTTGTCGTGGAAGTCGTTGAAGAACACGGAGCCGTTAGAGTCGTTGCGGTGGTCGTAGCCGAGCCCGTCGACGTGGCACGGCGGCCCCGGCGCCGCGGCCGGCCGGTTCGTGGCCTCCCATTTCTCGGCCAGACCGTCGCCCTCCAGCATCCGGACCACCTCGGACATCTTGGGCCGGTGCGACGGCTGGAACTGCGTGCAGAGGAGCGCCACTTGCACCACCTCGGCCACCTCGATCCTGTCGTAGTGCGGGCCCAGGTCCTGGTCCACCAGCAGGTCAAGCATCTTCTCTTGATGCACCTTCCTCACCTTTTGGGCAATCAAATAAAGAGTTAAGCAAATATACTTTACCGGTGAGAAAGAATATACTATCAGCAATCTTCAGTTATACAGTAGCATCTGGAATTTCAGGTTTTGAAGCTAAGGGCGCGTTCACCAACGGTTGGTCTCTCACAAGAAAAACTTGAAGCTGTAATTCAAACTTTGCCTTTGAGAGAGAAAAAACAACAGGCCGACTATCAGCAATCTTCAGTTGTACAGTAGCATCTGGAATTCTAGGTTTTGAAGCTAAGTACCCTGCACAATTAATTAATTACAGGAAGAGTGGCAGCTGGAACTGAAAGGCTAATGGTGATCAGCATTCAGGCCGTATCAAATGTAGTAGCTCAGGACCTGAATATGCATGGTTTATTGCTAATGTGTCAGGCTTGGTACTTGCCATTTCTTCCTAGTACAGGGTTACAGGCTACAGCAGAGGAGGGTACACGTAGAGGACCATAGTTTAGACTCAGAGTTTCGTTCAGTTATTGCAATTCAGGACCGTCGAGCTGAAACGACATCCTGTGGCCGTATCAGATTCTCAGATGCCGTCGTCCGATCCTATAATTCGTTTGACTTTTTTATCCTAAGTTTGATCACTCGTCTTATTCAAAAATTTGTGTAAAATATCAATTCTTTTGTTGTGGTTTGCTTATTAACAAAAGTTCTTCAAGAATAACTTAAATTTAGCTATGTTTGCAGAATTTTTTTTGAATAAAACGAGTGGTCAAACTTTGGGTAAATTATAATTTAGAACGGAGGGAGTACTTGCTAATGAATGAATGCACATGACCGTGTCCGATCCTTAGTACGTACTTGCAAATAGATGCTTGATGAATGAATCTTTCCTAACAGATTGCCAAGCTTCTTTCGAAAACGACATATATAGATTTCAAAAGCTTTATTTCGGATAGGAGTACGTACCCAATCCAGCATGACGACGCCCTTGTGGCTGTGCGAGGCGCCGGAGGCCTTGCCGAGCTCGAGCGCGCGCTGCCCCGTGACGAGCTCCAGCAGCAGGATCCCGAATCCGAACACGTCCGTCTTCTCCGACGACTGCCCCGTGGAGAGGTACTCGGGCGCGATGTGGCCCACGGTGCCGCGCACCGCCGTGGTGACGTGCGAGTCGCCGTGGTCCAGCAGCTTGGCCAGGCCGAAGTCCCCCACCACGGCCTCGTGGTGCTCGTCCAGCAGCACGTTGGCGGCCTTGACGTCGCGGTGGATGATCTTGGGGTCGCACTGCTCATGCAGGTACAGCAGCCCGCGCGCGGCGCCCACCGCGATCCGCTTCCGCGTCGCCCAGTCCAGCGCCGGCTTCCCTGCACATGCACGCACGTACGGCCTCAGTCATGGGTTAACTGTACATACTAGTACATGCATGGTTACGGCAAACAGCTGCACGCTGCACGCGCCGTATGACAAACGGTCAAACGCACACCATCGTCGTGTATGTACGTATCCCGTGGAGTCGTGGACCGGCACCGCGTATCCTGCCCTCGGATCTACTGGGCAGCAGCAGCCAGCCCTGGGCGCTGCGTGTACAGTTGGCATACGTACAGATACGAAGTCGACAGTAGTACGTCCTGTGACAGCACCATTTTTTATTTACAGACGAGGAGAGGAACGTGCTGCGGTCGTCTGTATCCGCGGACCAGCTGCCAGGACCAGGAGTACGTATGTGCTTAGCGGGGCTCAAGCTATTCGTGATTAGCCTCTGCTGCGTGCCTGATAGGTAGCTGAACAATGATGCCCAAGTGGCTCCGGATTGTTTGGCACGGGACACGCGAGCTGCATGCCGGAACAGTGACCAGACGGGCGGGCACACGGGCTCGTAGTTCGAGCTACGAGTATATAGGTAGCTTGTCTAGCTAGCTAGGTCCCCTGCCGGAACAAAAGAAGAAACCGACATGCCCTGTGCCCCTGTGCTGTGCTGTTCCAGAGCGCGCGGCGACCGCACGCGGCCACGCCTCCCTCTCCCTCCTGGAGTCCTGAGACCTGTGGACGGGACCACGACCACCACGCCTCCGGCGGCCGAGGGCCGAGGGGTGACCCCTTCCCCGAGGAACGGGGGTGCGTTCTAGCCTTAAACCCCCCGATCGACCCTGGGCCATCATGTCATCGAGCATCTATCGATCACCCGGGCGGCCGCGCAGGTAGGCCAGCTCCCAGTTTAGGACAGACACGCGTGCGCGCGAGCAAAACGCTCGTTGCTAGTAATAATGCCAGCCGCCGCCGAGCGCAGGCGCAGGTGGGCGCGGTGGCGAGCGCCCATGCCCGGCCGGCCTCCGCCCTGTTCGCTTGGCTTATGTGTTTTTTCACTCAACGAATGGTATTTTTCTGTGAGCTGAGCGAACGGGGCACTCGTACCGTCTCGTGGCTCGCGTCGTGGTGGCGGTACTAGTGTACTGCTGCTGCTGCTAGCCGGGCAGCGGCTGGTAGCCTGCTACCCGGTACGCGCAGATGCGCTTCCTGCTTGTGCTTCGTGTCGCGCCGCGCGGTGGCGGGGTGGGGGCGTGCCGCACCGCCGCTGCACCGCCGCAGTCCGCAGGGATGGCGATCAGGAGCAGCGATGGCATGTCCCTCCCCGGCCGGGCGGCCCAGGGATGCGGACAAATCGCGAGTGCGGTGGTGTCTGGCCTGTGGTCTCCGCCACGCGCTCTGCGCTCCATGGTCCCCGCGCGGCAGCAGCGCCAAGTACTACAGGGGGGACGCGACCACGCGCTGACTGCTGGGTACTGTGCGCAGTGCGCATCCCTCCATGACTCCTGCGTGCACTTCCGCGCGCGGGGCCCGCAGGGAACCGGCCTGATGGGAGACTGGGTCCCACTCCCACAGTCCCACCGCGTATGTAATCTCCGTGCACGAACCTTGATGCCGGCCACGACGACGACTACGGTTGTACCGATCGCGACAGCGATACGTGAACAGTCAGTACTCAGGAGTAGCGGCGGAGTACGTACCTCGCAGCCGCGACGCGACGCTGCCGTTGGGCATGAAGGGGTAGACGAGGAGGCGCTCGCCGCCGGCGGCGCAGAAGCCGACGAGGCGGAGCAGGTGGCGGTGCACGGCGAGGCTGATCATCTCCACCTCCGTGCGGAACTGGACCTCGCCCGACGCGCTGGGGTCCTTGAGCCGCTTCACGGCCACCGTGGTGCCGTCGGGGAGGCGGCCGCGGTACACGTTCCCGAACCCGCCCTTGCCCAGGATGTTCTTGGCGCTGAACCCGTCCGTGGCCGCCTGCAGCTCCCGCAGCCCGAACTGGCGCACGTTCCCCAGCCGCGCCACCACGCCGCCGCCGCAGCCGTCCTCCAGGTCGTAGCCGCCACGCTCTGCAACAATCCAATCGGCCAGAAGGCACGGGCGTTAGTTACGGTC